TTATATATATATATATATATATATATATATATATATATGATAAAGAAAGTGCTACAGTATAATTAAAAATGTGATACATGCTATAATTGAAAGTGTTACATAAATAATTAGAAGTGTTGCAACAAAAGAATTAAAGTGATAGAATTAAGGATTGAAATGATACGTATCTAAACCTAGTTTTTAATTGCCGTCGATTAGCCTTCTCCGGCGAAGGTGTGGATAGGCTAGTGGTCGCCCAAGATCGCTCGGCCATCCCCGACATCTTGTCTCCTTAATTCTGCGGCGATGATAGCCTAGCCGGGCTCGTGGGGCGCACCGATTGGAGGTGTTCTTCTACCCCAAATTCTGGTCTTCACCGTTTCTGATACCGACAAGGTGGGGGAGCAGTCATTTTTACCGAATTCTTCGCTGTGGCGGTCCTCTGGCGTGCTCTTGTGGGTGAGTCCTGGTTGGTGGCTGATTGCTTCCCTATGTGGCTGTTGATTGGCTCTGATTGGTGATTCGTCACTCTAGTTCTTGGAGTCGAAGCTTGGAGGTTCATCTGATCATTTTCAGGTTGGATTTCTGGGTTCGGACTTTTGGGGCTTCAGCTTGGGTTATCAGCGGCTGCGGGACGTTGGGAGGCAGGTTGGTCGGAGGATGGAAGGGATTTCGGCACCTCGCCCACTGTCGGGAAGCAGGAGTAGTCGACTTGGGGAGCTTCTGTCGATCCGGTTCTTTGGTGTTGGGCCAGTTGCATATGTTGTCTGGGGTTATCCGCTCGGTTGAGGGTGGGTTAATTCAGGTTAAATCGGGCTTCCGGGTTACCTTCTATATAGGCGTTCGGCAGCAGTTTCAGAAGTTGACACCGAGATTTCGTATCTTACTTGGATTGATCGTTGCTCTACTGGTCTCGATCCGTTTTATTTGCTGGGGAAGGGTGTTTTAGAGTATTAATTGTTTGTGTTTTATGCTTTGTTTTGTGTTGTTTGTGTTGTGTTGAATTAGGATCTGTATTTTTAGTTTGAGCCGGTGGCTCCTGTGAGCCTGAGCGTCAAATTTATTCTCCTGTGGGGAGCAGACACTCGGGTATTACCCTGTGGGTGGGTCTTTTCATTTGGTAGTTTTGTGTGTTGTGAGTATTACCCCGAGGGGGTCGGCTCTAGGCGGTCTTGGACCGTTCTCTCACTTTATTCGGCTGTTGGCTGTTCATATTCAGCTGTTAGTTGTTTGTATTCAGCCTATGGCTGCTCTTTTGTACATTTTCCGATTATATAATATATCTGTTGTTTCGGTAAAAAAAAATGATACGTATCAATTAAAAGTAATACAAAAGAAGTGTTGCATTAGATAGCAAAGCGTTACACAAAAGGTTAACGGTAACATTTAGTTATTGTTACTGTAAAGTGTTACAATTTGCTAATAGGTGTAGCATAAAAAATAAGTGCTACCAGAAGCTGTCAAAAGTATTACTATAGACAAAAGGTAGCACGAGCAACTGCGGTGCCATAATTGTGTTACCTATAATCTATAGTAACATTTAAAAGATATTAAGTATCACTTTTTTTATGTTACCTAAAGTAGTTTATGTTGCCTACCAGAAAACCTCCTTTATGTTATTCTATAGTATATACATAATAAGACAACTATTTTAACATTCGTTTGCATCAAATAAGATATAGCAAAAAATCATGTATTTTTGTCATGTTGATTTGACGTCTTAGCAATTTTAGTTTCAAGGTTCTAACTTTCGCTTTTAGTCTTTTGAATACCGAAATCGCAACAAAACTTTTAAACTTACATGACTGAAATTGTAACAAAATTTTAAAACACAAGGACCTAAATTGTTGATAAAAAATCTAAGAATTTGGGAATTTCTTAAATTTCAGTCTTTAATTGACCGAAATTGCAGCAAAAAATTAATTCAGAAAAAGGGCAAAAAAATGTTAGAACCTTGAAATTAAAATGTTGGACTAAAATTGCAATTTTACCTAAGATATATTTGCAATGGCCAAGAAGAACTGAAATACCATCAGCTAAGTTCACTTTGGAAGTTCGACCAAACACCAAGGACAACTGAAGAACGAGCTCTGGTCAGAAAAGCACGTTAGAAGTTTAGGCTGAGGAATGGGCGCTGGCCTGCATGGTCAAGGGCAATTGTGCTGCAGGAGGCTTAATGTACTTTTCTTCCTTCAGGAGAGATCATATCTACATGTTTCTAAAAATTATATATCACGAGCTGTTTATTTGGTTAAGCACAAAGTCTATAAATGGTTAGTTATAACAACCGTCTATTTTAAACAATAAAATATGTTGCTTGCATGCCTTCAATTATTATTTTCCTATTGCTCGAATTAAACATTTTACAAACCATTAAAATAACAACAAAAAAATAAAAGACATGTTACAAACGGAAGTTTACAACTAAAAATAAACAAAATCTTACAGAATCAATAAACCAACCATACATTTAATAAAACTAGTAAGGTGTAAGTACTTCGCACGTGAACCATATAATTTGTCTAATTGAATTTGCATGTCTTTAGGTTGATTGGCAAAAATATATTATTTATGATATACATTTTAAGTTAAATATAAGTATATCCAAATAAGAAATTGCTAGGATCATACATATATATTTATTATGACAAACAAATTGCTATGGGCGTGATTATATATGAGTTATATCCGGTCTTAATCGGTTGAGTTATTTCATATCCAATCATCTAACTCAAAATAAAATGCAATTAACTCTCCTACTTTTTATATATATATATAAACAATCATTCTCACATATTACATTAATTTTTATTTATTATTCATCTACTAAAATATTTTTAATGACCTATCACTTTCGATAATTTCTCTCCTACTTTTACATCACATCAATTATAATTATTATATTTTAAATATTTTTAATTTTAAACTCAAACTCATCCACTATTTATATTTTATTCAAACTAACTCACAGTAACTAATTTTAGCCAAACAAAATGGGTTAAAACTGGTTCGTGCCTAAGAAGTTCAACAAATATTCATTTTGGAAGTTTAAAAGACAATCGATTTCATGCTAATTAAACAAATGTTTCAAGTAAAATTCAATAAAAATTGAAGACACGTACACAAATACTAACATAAATGTGGAATAATTTTATTTGCACTAACACATTGTCAAAAATCGAGAAGTTTTAAATTTTAATTGAAAATGATATGATAATATGAACCTGGTAAAGTTTCTTTTGCCTAAAAAGTTATTGTAATACTAATAGAAAAATGGGTTATATCTATTAGCATTTATATTTTAATTTTAATTAAATTTTTTACCTATTGTCTTTAACATATTACTTATTAATCATCTTAATCTAAGTCCTAGTAAACATTAAATATAAACAATTTGAATTAGATACATGAACTTTTATTTAAGAGTACAAAATAAGTATTGAACGCTGATATAGGATATTATACTGGACCCGGTTTGATGGATAAAGCGGATACATATTGGAAGATAAGCCCACTAAGGCATCTAAGCCCAACTGGGGCCCAAAAGGTACACTCCCCCTATAAAAGGGGGCCAAGGTACCTCATTCTCTCATCCTCTCCACATTACATTACTACACTTTCTCTCTCTTGATCTGAGCACTGACATAGGCATCGGAGGCCCGATGCCGGGGCCACCCCCGGCGTTGGGTTCTGCAGGTACGGAGGCCGGTTCGAGTTGAAGGAGCCCGGGTGAATTATATTCACTTCATTCCGGGTGAATTATATTCACTTCATTGGCGCCGTCTGTGGGGACCCGTCAAAAAGCCAAGCGGAGTTCCGACTGAAAAAATTCAAAAACCTCCTTCTTCTCCACCGGCCGCCGCCACCGCCGGCCGCCGCCGGCCACCGGAAAATGTGCTCCGATCGGAAAATGGTTGGCATCACCGGATAGATCTTGTCAAGGTGAAGCTACCCTTAAAATTTCATGCAAAAATTCTTCCGGGGAGGCCATCAATTTTGCGGTCAAAGTTTCCAGATCTAGTAAAATTTTGGTCAAAATCAAATATTCAAACGCATTTTCCCGACGATCCGGGAGGGCTACGGAAAATCCAAGGGTACCACCGGAACCCTCTCGACAAGAGGAATCTCCAGCTACCGAACTTCGCCAGAAACTGCCACCTCCGTCGCCGTCCGCCTCCGCCTCCGCCGCCGGCCGCCGGCCAATGTCGTCCGATCTGAAAATATCTTATACCATCACGAAGCTCTCCTCTTGCTCGTTCTACCTTTAAAATTTCAAGGAAAAATTCCTCCGGCAAGACCATCAATTATACGGTCAAAGTTGTTGGATCTAAAACACATTTGGTCAAAATTCGGTCATCCTCTTCGATTTCTCGTCGATTTCCGGTGAACCACCCTAAACCGAGGACACCATTGAATCCTCCTCGCCGAGACGCTCACACGGCTGGTAACTGTCGCCGGATCCGATGACTTTTTCTCCGGCGACATTTTTCCCGGCGAAACCACAGCTGCCCTGCCATGTCTGTCCAGTGATCTGGGCTCTGGTTCCCGACGACCATCGTTGGCCCAGCGTGCGAGCAGGCCCAGCTCCAGATATCCGCTCTGCAGCCCCGTCCAGAGAAAAAACGGCCCAAGTATTTGCGGCCCAGTGCAAAACCCATGAAGAAGCCCAACTCGCAACCCAGCTGGGAACCCCCTCAGCCCAGCATCACAGCGCGCGGGCCGCATTCGCCACGCGAAGCCCGCGCGCCTCACGTCGCTA